TTTTTTTTTTTTTTTTTTTTAGTGACTGTTATTGCCCATGGATGGGACTGTCCATATTTCTTTTGGCTATTGATACCTGGTGGTTTGGATGAGGTTATTAGGGAAAGGAGGAGACCTCATTTTGGGGCCCACTATGGAGTGGGGACCCCTGTGCCAGCAGGGGTGTGGCTTTTGGGGGTACACAGACCCTGGTGCCTGAAGGCATGATCTTAAAAGGCCAGGGAGGTCTGGTGCAATCTTATTTATTTGGTGGGACTAAGCAAGTCTGTCCCCTGGCCTCGAACTTGTGCCACCCTGGTTGTGGGGCTGGTGGCTAGACCTCTAGGCCAGGCTCCAAACTAGAGCAGGAAAGAGGGCTAGAGTCTCTGAGTCAAACCCTATTTGGTGGGTTTAAATGAGGAGGCCTAGGTAGAGAAAGACTGAGGTCAAGGCCTGTGGAGGCAAAAGACCCCAACCTATGAAATACAACAGGAAGGCTCCTGCTTTTAATAACCAACATAATAACTTCCATGAAGACGTGACAGGTGAGTAAAGAGCAGGATACAAGAAACCTTAGAGGGGACTCCAAAGATACCCCACATAGGGCGTGGATAACAGGGAACATGGCGCTGGGGAAAGCAACCTGTTTACAATACCCAGTTCCTGATATTAAACATGCCTATGAAGGACAACCAAAATTAGCCTTTCACTTAGGAGACCTCTTTGAAATGGTAGCTCAGGCAGCTCCTTTGCTGGTGGTACCACAAGGGAGCCATGGGAGAGGTAAAGTGCCTCACACCACTCTGTTAGGAGGCCTTCAGTTATTTGAGATGGGATGACTAGAGAGCTTTAGCTAACCTCAGTTTGCTGTCAATGCAAGATTCCTGTAGTTGGAGAGAACATCTTTTACACTTGTCTTTGACTCTCTTAGGGGAAGAGGGAAGGATAAACAGAAAAGGTTTCTTAATAAAGGGATTATTATTTTGCTACAACTTATTTCTACTTCTGTGGTGCTCTCCCATAGACGTTCAAGAGGGCAACATTTTCAGCCAGAAAGAGCCTCCTCCTTTTTAGGCTGTGGATACATCCTGGCTGTCTTAAAGAGGGAGCTGATGCTTGGGAGCCCATATCAGCTGTAACATGTCTACATAATCCTGCAGTGATACAAAATGAGCTCAGTTGCCTGAACACTGACCTGAATGAAACAGGGTTAGAGATGGAGTGATTTCTGCCACACACATTATTACAAGATCATTCAGAGGTAAGAGTTGCATCACAGCAGCTTGTATCTGCTTGATACCAATGCAACTGTTAGTCTGTCTAAACCCCTAACATGGCCAACACATGCATTCCACTGCTGTGACCTCCAGCACTATTTCATGGATTGTTCCATTTGAACAACTACAGTTATGCTCCATCACCGCAGTTCACAGATAACTTCTTAACATGAATTGCATGAATTCTGTTTTTTATTTGTAAACATTTATGTGTAGTTAATGTAATTATTTATGTGGCATAGGCAATCAGATGCTCAGAACACAGCTTCAGGTGTTGCAGTTTCCAGTTGTTTAAACAACTGGATTCAAATGAGGCAGGAAATTAAATGCAAGGTCAAACACTTTATAATCACTGATATTAGAATAGCATTTGGAAGCACCAGTTAAGGCTGAGGCCCAATTTTGCTAAGTACCATGAACATGCAAGTAAAGAAATCGTTGTTGTACAAAAGACCTTAGCGTCTAAACAGAAAAGGCAGGCAAGGGCTAAGAGGATTATTATCCCTATTTTACAGACAAGGAATTGAGCTTCTTAGCTCCATAAAGGGACTCGGATAAAGCAAGACTAAGCATTACCACACACAACTCATAGATATCTGGTTCCCAGAACATAATACACGCCACTAAATTTGACACCTAACGTCTCCATACGGTGCATGGAATGAATTATGTAAGGAGTGGGCATCCCAATAGTCAACAAGCTGTAAGGGGAATGCTTGTAAGAAATGCTGATAATAAGAGTTGTGCTTGAAATCCTAGCTTTCTCCAGAGTCTAGGCATCTATAAGACCTGAGATTCACAGCCTAACCTTTCTGCAGCTATGCACTTATTTTGTCCACTGGCCTACTGTCTCTCTTTAAACTGGTGGTGGTGGCACCCACCCACTGTTTAGAGATTAGTTTAGAGCAGTGGTTTTCAACCTGTGGTCCACAGACAATGTTCAAGGGATCCACAGAAGATGAATATGATCAGTCATAAATAAGTATGTGAATACCCACACGTACAATTTAAAGGGGCCTCCCACATCCATTCAAAAATTTCTAGGGGTCCACAAATGCAAAAAGGTTGAAAACTACTGGTCTAGAGGCTAGAGCAATCACCAAGCAAGAGGGACCTACATTTAATGTCTGAGGCCTTTTTAAACACACATTTCATGCTTCTGAGGAGTGTCTGCACTACCAGATGTTCTCCACCCTTCTTGGCAAAGCCAGGACTCTTAGACTATTGATATACTTGGCATTAAACTGTAAGCAGACAAAATGCACACAAGGTGCATCTACACGTGTGTTTTACTGAGGACCAAAATACTGGCCCCTCGTTAGCTAACTGACAACATTTTTAAATTCTGCTCAGCATATTTTTTCCTTTTTAAAAGACAAAAATAAAGAAATAAGCACACATTAGTTCAAAAGGAGTATTTAAATCTACCTGGCACCTTTTGCAGCTATACTTGTGAGGCTCAGAATCTGCACTTTCATCAGAGTTGTCGTCATTTTCCTCTGAAGAGATTCCAATTTTACCAATGAACTCTTCCCTCTGGTGGTCATCCATTAGTGCGATGTCCTGTTTAAGGTAGGGAAGGAGATTCTTTTTTACTAAATCCAATAGTTATTTCAGAGCTTAATATATCCTTTGCCCTTCTTGTATACAAACTTGTTTCATAACCAGCTATAATAACATAAAATAAAATACTTTCACATCTAATAAAATCCCTGTAAAGTGAAAATCCCCCAGTTCGTGATTAGACACATTTATTTATTAAATGACAAAGCTGTGCATATATAAAAAAAGTTACCTATAGGTTATCAGCAGGAATTAAACTGGCACATGGTTAAAGCTGTACATCATTTTAATGGCATTACTGAACAACACAGCACCTCTCAAGCTCATATTAGATCAAACAAATTGCATTTTTTCACTAAGCCACTTGAATCTTAATTGCACTAACAGGTGGGTCAAACAAATAAAACATTTCCCCACACGGATATTTTATTATTTTAAGAATTCTCACACATGGTACCCAAGAGACTATTTCAGGAACCTCCCTCCTCTCATTCACAGTTACTTAACTGCCATGTAGCAACTGTGGCAATAGCTTTCTTGAGGAGGCAAGATTAAGCAAATATTTAGTGCATCTTTCCAGATGCCTTTTTAATGCAGATAACAGCACAAAACAGAAGGAAGAGCAGCAGCAGCAGTTGACCAACTAGCTCTTTGCACACCAACAGCAAGTATCCTGTGGATTAGTACAAGAATGTCTATACTAACTAATACTCACTCTATGTAGTACCTTTCACACTTTTGAAAGCTGTAGTCCCTGTGATGTAGGCAAGCTTTCTTTTTTCTTCAGATGAGTAAAATGAGAGACTGTGGGTTAAATGGCATATCCAAGTTCTTGCAAGGTATGTCTATACCAGAGGTCAGCAGCATTTTTGGGGCAGGGTGCCAAAACACCTGCAACCTTCACTTGTTGGATGTTGGCGTGCCAGAGATGGATGGTGGGGGAGCCATGAGAGGCCAATCCTTGTTGTGGCAGCGCATCCCCAGCCCTTTCCCTACCATCCACCTGAGATGCACATGCCAAGCAAAATATCTTTGCACACCACTTTCTGGCAACTGTGCTGGGGGTTGCTTACCTGTGGTCTATACTGCAATCATATAGTGCAGTCCCAGAAGCAACTGCAGGACACTGCAAGCATACCTGAGCTAGTTCAATAGTCCAGCTGCTACAATGCAGCATGGAGCTAAGAAGCAAGATAAAATAGATTATGCTGATACCACAAGTTACACTGCTCCTTGTACCCAAGCCAGCTAGCTTAAAACTAGCAGGGATATGGAAGCAACTGCAATGTTGTTGGATAAGTGCAGTGCAGAACTGCAGAGTGTCAGTGGCCAATCTGGATTTGAACTAAGCCATCCTCCTGACTCCCTGGGAGTTTTTTTTCTGTAACCATGTGCTTTTTTGTAACCATTAGACAGCACTCCCCCTCCATGTAATCTACCCTTTGATACTTACAGGGATGGCCTCTTTGGCTCTCCTGCTTCAGTCCCCTCCCCCAGCATAAGAATCATAGAAAATGAGGGTTGGAAGGGAGCTCAGGAAGTCATCTAGCCCAACCCCCTGCTCAAAGCAGGACCACCCTAAACTATATCATCCTACCCAAGGTTTGTCTAGCTGTGTCTTAAAACCCCCCGAGGATGGAGATTCCACAAACTCTCTGCAGATAAACTGCATTTAACCATGTGTTGCATGAAGGTGTGCTGCAAAGGCTTCAATTTAAAGAGAAAGCCCCTCCCAACCATTAATGCAGTTTGAGATGCCAAAGGGAAGTTCTGGTTTGGATCCAGAACGCATACCAGCTCCCACCATATACATAGATGCACCTAGCCACTTACCCTTTTAGAACCGGTTTCCAATAACATACAATATAGAATCATAGAAGTAGGGTCGGAAGGGACCTTGTAGATCTTCAAGTCTGACCCCCCGGCCTGGGCAGGAGAAAAACTGGACTCAAATGGGTCCAGCCAGGTAGGCATCAAGCCTCCTCTTAAAGACCCCCAGGGTAGGAGCCAGCACCACTTCCCTTGGAAGTTGGTTCCAACTCCTAGCCGCCCTAACTGTGAAGTAGTTCTTGCAGATGTCTAATCTAAACCTACTCTCCAATAACTTGTGTCCATTATTCCTTGTTATGCCAGGGGGGCGCTAGGGGAAACAGTGTCTCCCCCAATCCCTTCTGGTCCCCCCTAGTGAGTTTATAGACAGTCACCAGGTCCCCATATAGCATATGTTCTTTATCAAAATATTAACAACCTACCTTAAAATGAACATGAATATGGTCTCTAAGCACATCCACCCTGAAAAATTTACGTCCACAGATTTCACAGGTATACTTCTTGTCTCCATGTGTCAGAAGGTGTTTGTTCATATTGCTCCTACATGAAAAGACCTAGAGAGGAAGAAAACATGGAAGGAATTTTTCACATCTAAAGGAACACTGGGGCTATTCTTGATTTATTTTGCAGTTGGCACAGGGCATATTTAATACTGCTTTCCTACAGATACTGCTTCTGGGCTGGATGACATACATGTCTGTATTCAACAGCAGAGTTCTCATCATCTGTTCAGTACTGGAGTGATGCAAAAATCTATTAATACTACAAAATATGCATATATAGGCACCCAAAGCGTTCACAGATATTTTTTCTTACCAGGTGAGACAGAATGATATAGACTACGTTAGGAGAAATAAGGGAGGATTCTTCTGTCTGTTACTGACACTTAAGTAGAGTTAACAAAAAATAAAATCACTATTAACTTGAAGTGAGCTCTTACGTATGAAAACTTATGCATCTCTGATTCAGTTAGTCTATAACAGGTGGTTCTCAACCTTTTTAGTCAAGGCACCCCCAAATAGACTCAAGGGAACCCTAGGAAAATGCCAATTTTTAGCTTTCACTTGTTTTTGACTACAGAAAAATAAAAAAAAGCAATTTTGCAGTTGCAAACAACTCAAAAATAACACAACAGGTCAGAACGTTTTTAACGTTATGGATTCCTATTTGAAATATTTGGGCCTGTGAATTGTGTGCATATACACCCAACAGTGACATTGTACGGTGCCCCACAACACCCATGAAAGCATCTCAGGGTACCCCAAAGTAGAAAAGCCTTATCCTGGATTCAAGTACAGGAGCCAAAGATCAGAAGCCAGAGTCACAGCGGTTCTTGCTGCTGCCTGGCTGGGGCCAAGGTGGCTTACACATGTGGGAGAGAATGGAGAGTGTGAGGCAAACTGTGTGGTGCAGGGAGGGAGCAAAGGGGTGCACATGGGGCAGACCCCATGGTGTGAGTGGGTGGGGAGGGGTTGGACCTGAGAGGAGGAAGGGGGAGACTACAGCAGGAGAGAAGCTGTAGTGTCTATGACTCCAGTCCTGACCCAGGGCAGAGACCTGGGCCAAAGCCAGAGCTGCTGCTGCTGCTGTTCCTGACTGGTTGGGGCCAGGGCTACAATGTGATCTGTGCCCGAGGCTGGAGCCAGAGCTACCGCATATGGTAAACTTAACTTAATCCAGACTAAGAGAGGTAATGGACAGACAGACATCTCTGCAGAATTAGAGTTCATAACATTTGTCCATAAGGCTTTGTTTAACATAACTTTAAATGCTCAACACAACCAACTACAGAGCCTGTGCTGGAACTCCATACCTGCCACTGATAGATTTTTGGTACTTGAATGCAAAGCTTCACTGCATGCACTGGCAAAGAGGCCTACCTTTCCACACACAGGGCATCCTGATGGTTCCTTCTTGTAGCGGACCAGGTTCTCTGTGCTGTGCTCAAAATCTTCTCTTTTCACGCGCCTCACCCCTTAATGGAACAGCCCCCATCAAAAAAAATACAAATAAAATAAACCATGGTTTCCTGTCTAAACTGTATGACACTTTGACTAAACACTATGCAGAACAGTGATACACAGAAGTAGTGCTCTCTGCACAATTTAGACTCCTAATGAAAGGATCAGTGCTTACTTAAAATGGTGAGAAGTGGCTTAAAAGTACAAGAGATTTGTTGAAGATGCATTTCATTTTCCTATTTGTTGGTGTGTCAAATAGGTACTCAAAATTAGGATTTCCTAGGCCTGTAAATACTGGGAGCTTTGAAGGAGAGGAACAGGGATGGATCAGTCTGGACAGGTCCTGCATAAATATTCTGCCTTGACATGCACTCTGTAATTGTGAGAGAGGATACTGGGCTACAGGGAGCTTCACCTGACTCAGCATGGCGTTTTTCATGTTCTTACCATACCAAATGTCTACTGTAAAAACCCCTCCAACCAACCAAAAGCCCAGTGGGAGCTGCTGGTGCTCAGCAACCCTACAGTTGGCCTCTTCATGTTCAGTGAGGATACCTATTGCCCCCAAAGCAACTTTCAAGAGGAAAATAAGGGCTCTTGCTTCTATTTCTGAGGAGAGAAGAGGTTCTATGACAATGTCTCTGCACCTTCTGCCATCAACACTCAAAGTGGGGGATGAGGCTATTGGCATGGAGAACAGAACCATGCCCAATTCCATGGTGGGGCTTGGACCCCAGACTGCCTTAACTATGTCCTGTTCTAAATTACTGATAGTACCATCCCCAAAATGCAGAGCAAACTCCAAGTGATAGATTAAGAGGTAGAGATTTTGTTGCATATTTTTTTTTTAATCTTTTCTCTCTGACTGTCAGCTCGAAGGATTAGTGGCCTACTTTTCTAAATGTGCTGAACACCTGCTGTTCCTGTGGACTTCAATGGAGATTTGGGGTTCTCAGTTCTTATGGTCTTATTTTCTGACCTGGAATCAAGCATGAAGTGTTTATCTTTTGTGTTGGTCTTAAACCCACTTGTATTCTTCCAAATGGATTTGTACTTAGTTGCTATTGCCTTATTCACAATGGAAAACAGCAGCTCATTGAACAAACTTTCCAGGTGCCACAGACATTTCAAAAGGCACGTAGATTTTTAAGGCCAGAAGAGGTCATTATGATCACCTAAGGCTGACACAGAATCACAAAAAATTAGGGTTGGAAGGGACCTCAGGAGGTCATCTAGTCCAACCCCCTGCTAAAAGCAGACCAGTCCAGCCAGGCTTTGTCAAGTCAGGCCTTAAAAAGCTTTAAGAATGGAGATTCCATCACCTCTCTAGGTAAGCTGTTCCAGTGCTTCACTACCCTCCTAGAAAGTTTTTCCTAATATTTAACCTAAACTTCCCTTACTGCAACTCGAGACCATTGCTCCTTCTTCTGACATCTGCCACCACTGAAAACAACTAGCTCCATCCTCTTTGGAACCAGCCTTTGGATAGTTAAAGGCTGCTATTGAATCTTGCTCTCAACGCACCCCCCACCTTCTCTTTTGCAGACTAAAGATAATTCTGCAGTCCCAGTTCCCCTACACTCCTCATAAGTCATACGCCCCACCCTCCTAACCATTTTCATTGCCCTCTATTGGACTCTAACTGTCCACATCTTTTCTGTAGCAGGGAACCCAAAACTGGACACAGTACTCCAGATGTGGCCTCACCAATACAGAATAGAGTGGAATAATTACTTCCTTCAATCAGCTGGCACACACCTACTAATGCAGCCCAGAATGCTGTTAGCCTTTGTGGCAGCAGAGGCACACTGTTGACTCATATTCAGTTTACTGACCACTGTAACCCCCAAGTCCTTTTCTGCAAAGCTGCTGCTTAGCCACTTGGTCCCAAGTATGTAGTGATGCATGGGATTCTTCCGACCTAAGTGCAAAATGTTGCACTTGTCCTTATTGAACCTCATGAGATTTCTTTTGGCCCAATCCTCCAATTTCTCTAAGTCACTCTGAATCCTAGCCCTAATCTCCAGCACATCTACTACTCCCCCCAGCTTGGTGTCGTTTACATACTTGCTGAGGGTGCAATCCATCCCATCTTCCAGATGGTTACTGAAGATATTGAACAAAACTGACCCTCAGACCGACCTTGGCGCACTCCACTTGATACAAGCTGCTAACTACATAGAGATCCACTGATCACTTTGAGCCCAACAATCCAGCCAGCTTTCTATTCACCTTACAGTCCATTCATCCAACCCATATTTCCTCAGCTTGCTTGCAAGAAATATATGGGACACTGTATCAAAAGCCTTGCTAAAGTCAAGGTATATCATGTCCACTACTTTTCCTGCATCCACAGAGCCAGTCATCTCATCATAGAAGGCAATCAGGTTGATCAGGCATGACTTGCCCTTGGTGAATCCATGCTGACTGTTTTTGATCATCTTCTTCTCCTCCAAGTGCTTAGAAATGGATTCCTTAAGGACCTGCTCCATGATTTTTCCAAGGATTGAAGTGAGGCTGACTGGTCTGTAGTTCCCTGGATCGCCCTCCATCTCTTTCTTGAAGATGGGCACTATATTTGCCCTTTTCCAATCATCCAGGATATCCCGCAATAGACATAAGTTTTCAAAGATAATGGCCAGTAGCTCTGCAATTACATAGGCCAACTCCCCTAAGCACACTTGGATGCACTGCATCCAGCCCTATAGACTTGTAAACATCCAGCTTTTCTAAATAGTCCCTGATGGCTACACACCTTCTCCCCAGACTGTGCTGCCCAGTGCAGTAGCCTGGGAGCTGAACCTGCCCGTGAAGACCAAGGTAAAAAAAGCACCGAGTACTTCAGCCTTTTCCTCAACATCTGTCAGTAGGTTGCCTACCCCATTCAGTAAGGGACCCACACTTTCTCTGACTTTTCTTTTGTTGCTAACATACTTATAAAAACTAGGGCTGTGCAAAGCTTTGGTCACTGATTTGACTTGGCAGAGATTTGCCTTGATTCGGCGGCCGAATCTCCGAATCCAAATTGAACCAGGAGTCCCTTTAAATTGAATCTGTTCAGCCTCCACAAGAGAAGGCTGAGGGGGGGGATCTAGTGGCCTGTTACAAACTAGTCAGGGGGGACCAGCAGGCATTGGGGGAGTCCCTGTTCCCCCGAGCACTACCAGGAGCGACTAGGAATAACAGTCACAAGCTGGCAGAGGGTAGATTTAGGCTAGATATCAGGAGGCGCTACTTCACGGTCAGGGCGGCTAGGATCTGGAACCAACTTCCAAGAGAAGTGGTGCTGGCTCCTACCCTGGGGGTCTTTAAGAGGAGGCTAGATATACACCTTGCTGGGGTCGTTTAACCCCAGTACTCTTTCCTGCCATGGCAGGGGGTCGGACTAGATGATCCACTCAGGTCCCTTCTGACCCTGGAAACTATGAAACTCTATGAATAGAACTGGAACCCTCTGAACCAGTTTGGAGAGATTCAGTGATTGGGACATAGACACAACTTTAAATGTTTTTTCTATATACCTCAAGGTACCAGATGGCTTGTAAATGCTGAGCTGGTGGGGCAGATGGAGCATCCCACAGGAGTGTGGGGGGGGGAGGGTCCCCAGTGCACTTGGCGGCAGACCCATAAGCGGAACAGAAGTACTTCCAGTCCACTTCTGGGTCTGCGGAGGAGCACATGGGGGACACCCCCACCAGCTCCGGGGGGGGCATCCAGGGTCCCCCCATGGCTGATCACCAAGCCAGGGAGGAGCAGGGTGGCACCTGCGGGCTCAGCGGCAGACCCGGAAGTGGACCAGAATTACTTCCGGTCTACTTCTCGGTTTGCCACTGAGTATGCAGGGGGCCCCCCCGACTCGTGTGGGATGCTCCATCCACCCCACCATTGCAGCATTCACAACCCACACCTGGTACCTCGAGGTATGTAGAAAAAACATTTAAAGTTGTGTCTATGGTTGAATTGCCGATTCTCCGAATCAGCATCGAATCATCAGATTCAGATTTGGCCAAATCAAATCGGGACAGCGAACCAAATCAATGAATTGAATCTGTTCCTGATTCGGGCTGAATCCGAATCAAATACAGCCCATTTCACACATCCCTAATAGAAACCCTTCTTGTTACCCTTCATGCCCCTTGACAGCTGTAACTCCAGTTACACTTTGGCCTTCCTGATTTCATCCCTGCATGCCCAAGCAATATTTTTATACTCCTTCCTAGCCATCTGTCCAAGTTTCCACTTCTTGTAAGCTTCCTTTTCATGTTTAAGCTCACTGAAGAGTTCGCTGCTAAACCAAGCTGGTCGCCTGCCATATTTGCTATTCTTCCTATACATCAAGACAGTTTGTTCCTGCAACCTCAGTTAAGTTTCTTTAAAATACAACCTATGTAATGCATCCTATGTAACAGACCACAATATTTTTATCTGGAAACTAATGTGTTAAATGCAGCCATTGATAGCTAGATTGGAGCATTTCTTCTAAAAAAAAAAAAGCATTCAAATGTGATCTCAGTACTCAAAGGAATGAAGTAGTTACTTCCATGATTCACTACACTTGGGACACAGGCAGACAGATAATTGTACTGTTCTAAAGGGATGTAGGTGACATAGCGCTCATCAGCAAACCTCTTGAAACTATTTTGTCTGTCTACCCCCATCTGAGAATAAGTAAAAAATAAACCATGGTTGTTTAACCCCTTTCATTAAGGGGTAAAGCTGTCTCAGTTCAAAGTTCCACTTGCCGTGGGACAGGAATGAACAAACAAAACAGCTGAAATGCAGTAAGCTCCTATGTCCCTTTTAAAAAGGGCATAATTATTGTGTGCCCATATCCTCATTTGTTAGCAACTGGTTACACCAGCTACACAAGATTAAGCTGATTTTGAGATGATAGCTAGTATCCAGAGGAGAGTGAGACACAAGCATTGACTTAGTCCTCCTTAGCTAAGTAACACTACCAGGGTGATGGGTGGCTTTATCCTGAGTATACTTACCTTCCAAGTGTCTCCGCTGATGATCCAACATGACATCTTTCCTGTAGAACATTTTATTGCAGATTTCACATGAAAATTTCTTATCTCCATGCTTTTTCTTGTGTTTTGAGAGGTTACTGTTTGTCGAGAAGAATCTGAAACACATCTCACACTGGAACGTCTTGTCATCTGTTGGCAAAGCAAAGAAAGCAATCCTTCTCAAATGAAAACATCAGAAAGGAAGTCACTTCTACGATTAGGTGTAGAATTGCTCTTTCCAGGCTACACCTATGCCACTTTCCTAGTACTTCTAAAGGTGCTGTTCTTGAGCCCGTACCTGCCCACCCACTCCAGTTCTGCACATGCCACACCTGAAAAACAAGGCAGTGAAGCCACTCTGGCAGCACCCACCACTGCTGACAAGGACAATGAAAATAGAGTAGCAGTTGGGGGTGGAGTGGCAGGGGCCAGGGAACAATTTCACTACTGCAGTATCGGGTTTGGAACAAGCAAAGCAGGAGCAGGACATGCTCGAAAACAGCACCCCTAGGACACTATTTAGATATACCTATAATTGGTGCATTTGGATCAAGGAGAATGCAGGCAAGAAACAGGCTGCTAGTTGTAAGATGGTCTTGTAAGTTTTTCTTTCTACTAAAAAATAAAACTACCAGCCCACTTGACATCACAAGGTCATGTCTCCCTCTAAGAACAACTGGAAGGCAGCTTGACTGAAATTCCCTTCTCTTTATCACATAAAAGGCAAGAATTCACCAAACCACTCCAAAGAGAAACACACAGTAAATCTTTAAGATAACTTGAACACTGATTCTGGCAGGGTAAGCTTTTCATGTGAAGCTTTATTTCTACTACCTGAAATACATAACCATTCTGCCTAGAGTGAGTCCTACCTTTCCCTAAAACAATGTTCTATTTGGAAGTGAAAGAAGAACTGCTGCATCTGAACAGTAGCGCACCAAGTCCAGCATCTGGTTAAGGGCAGCTGACAGAACCAGAAGCCTCAATTGAAGGTACAAAGCCCTTATAACAAATTACATATCTTCATGGGAAGTTTATGCCTAATCCAGTAGTTGGGAAAGTATAAGGGAGTATGACATTTTCACTGGGGCAAGAGAGGAGAAAGAATTAAGTCTTTTAAGAACAGTTTCAAAATGGATGTTAGTTTTGGAAAGAAACAACGTTGTATTGCTTCCATTTGATGAAGGCAGATTTCTGGGCTGCAGCTGGGACAGCAGGGGCATTGAGGCCAGAGAGAGAAAGTGGCAATGCAGATGCTGCTTCCAGCTGCCTGAATCCAGTACAGCACCACACTGGTCACTGTACTATAGAATTAAATTAATTTTGCTCTGCAGCAAAAGTGGAGCAGATATATGACACATCAACTTATACCAGTGTAAGTCAGGCCACCCTGGGGTAAAAATTCCCCTCAAAAAATGAAGAGCAATTATACAGTGATGTAAAGTATACTAACATAGGCCACATATAGATATTCAGTTAATAGATATTGTTCAGAATTTCAGATGTTCAGAATTTTTCTCCCAGAGTAAAAATGGCTACTCAAGGAAAAAATAACCTGGGACCAACCAGGGTTAAATCACTCTTAAGACTTTCTTCTCAGAGAGTGAATGCCTGTACATATTCTCTTCTGAGAGAAACTACAGCACAGTGTAACTCCAGCAACCCAGGGTGCTTTGCTCTCCACCTCTCCCCATGAGAAAGTATGTTGCTTGATGAACTCTGCTTCTGCAGGCAAGCAGGGAACAAACATGCTCCCTTCATGACCCCTATAATGTGCTGCAGGGAGACTGTGAGCAGTCTGGGTCGGTCAATCAGGGCTGCTCTGTGTACTCCTTCCTCCCTTTCTGTCTCTAGGCAGACATAGAGCCTGTAGAGATGTGCATAGGGTCCCCCTGATTGTGCAGTCAGCCCTGCAAACTCTGCTGCTTGGGGGCTCACCATTCAGGCATCTTTGGGTAAGTTTTTCTATCAGGAGAACAACTCTGGGAGAACTCTCCAAGATTATTTGAATATATGTATGCAGCCATAATGGTATGTGTCCAGTCCCCTAGTCAATTGCTCCCTGCCGCCTGGTGACCAAATTCTGTAACAGTATCTACTGTAGGCAGACCAGGTTGGCAGAGCTAATTGTTCAGCCACTCCTTACTACGGATTAAATTAATTACAATAAAATCAGAGATACATTACTAGCTAGGTATCTGAACTCTTAATGCTTAGTTTTAGAAAAAGTAAATTGGAAGTTGTGACTGGATACCTGAGAGACAGCTGGAGATGTGAGACTGGAGAGAAGGAAGGAAATAAAATATAATGCCGAAGTAGAACTGTCTGAAATAATGTTTCATAAGGAAACAGCAAGTTGTTTATTTTAATCTTTTGTGCTGTGATAGCATGATAAATATTAAGCCCAAGAGACTACCTTTCCCTCCTGGTTGCTAGGGTGATGCACTATATGACATACCCCTGAAAGAGCTAAGATTAGATAACTTTGAGGGTAAGTGGTTCTTATCACCTGTTCTGCAATTGTGGAATTCCAATGCACTCTCTATCCGAAAGGCCTTTTCACACGTAGCACACTTGAATCTGTACTCACTGTCAACCTGAGAATTGCCAATGTTCAAGAGAGGAAGAGAAAAAAAACAAGTCATTTCACAATGGAGAAAGAGAAAATCCGCAAAGAAATCCAGATGGCTTTTCAATACTTTCAGTCTTCTGATTTTATTCAAATGGGGAATTTTTTTCCCTTTTAAAACATTAAAAAATCATCTCAATGGAGGAGTCTTACTTCTGAACCCTGCGTAAAAAGTACCATTGTTCTTACTGGTTGATAAAAAGAGACGTTAGGTGTGCGTGGTTAGCAATCTCTGGCTATTTTCAAGCTTGTATGGAGGTATCTGATTTAGGAAAAAATCAAGATGTCACCAGACTCATCATCAGGCTCCAATAACATTCTTGGCATCAGTTGCCAACAACTGGAATACTTAGCACTGGATGCAAAGCCCTCTGAAGTCAATAGAAAGACTCTTGGGCTGCTTGCAGATGTTAAAACAAACAAGTGCGTTTTACGGAAGATGTAGCGCACTACTTGAATCCAGCTCCACAGCATCTGTATAGATTGGGCACTTTAGCAGGGCTTTTTGGCTCTTTCAGCTAAAGCTGATTCAATCAGCTATTAGATGAAAGCACCAAAAAAGCCCCATTAAAGTACCTGACCTATCAAGATGTCAGACAAGCCACGCACTGGGCATGCACTGGGCTCGGCATGAGAGCGCATGGAATTTAAAGTAAAGTGCTAGTTTTTGGGGGGTTTTATTTTTTTTTTTTAACACTGCAAGCAGCCTTGGCGCTCTTAGTGTTTTATTATATTATCTGTATTGCATTAGCACTAAGACACCCTGGTCAAGGATTGGGGCTCCACTGCAAGCATAAACGCACTCAAACACACACACGTGTGTTGTGTGTGTGTGTACACATATACATATGTCTTTTATAGATTTAGATTACAATAGGGTAGAAGTGGTTTTGCTTCTGTTACATGTTGCTATCCACACATGTATGTATATACATGTGCATGTATGTATGCGTATTTATGTACACACGTGCGCAAGCCCGATACACCAGAAGCTGTCCTGCTTCTGTTATAATCTATATCTACAAAAGACGGAGACAGAAATGGGACTGGTGGGCAAGACAATAGTAAAAAAATTCTATTTGGTGTAAGTAGCAGTCAGAGCTTACCTCTGGATACGGCCCTCAGCCTGCAGCTATCTCCAGTTCAGTGACCCTCTTTCCTGCAGATTCTTGCATGCTATGCAACCATTCTGCATACAGCTGAACCACACTCCCCAAATAACATCCTACATTTCTTCATACATTTCCACCCATACTCATGAAAAGTCATTTCCACTCACTTCATTCCTGCTGTGTTTGTATGAAACATGCTGCTTCAGGCTCTCTTTACGGCTGAATAGCTTGGCACATTCTTCACATTTAAATAGTTTGTCACCTAAGGGATCAATCAAGATAGAACAGAGTCAGAGGCTGATGTAATCAACTCCACATGGAACACCTAAAAAAAAAAAAAAAAAGCGGGGG